GCTTCCATATGCAAAATATCTAATTTTTTATTAAGTCTTAAGGTTTGTAAAGCAATGTTTCTTTCATGCCTTTGTTTCTTTTCACATCTTGCCTACCTATCATGCATAGTAATTTTCATTTTAAGATTAAAAATACTTTTATGCATCAAAAAATTTTGAAATTTCAAATGTGAAATCTTTATAATGTCCTGATAGTTTTAAACATTTCTTAAAAAAAAACTTTATATTTTATCTGTTATTTTCAGTGATGAATCTCTATACAGGTTTGGTAGATTTGACTGATCTCGCAACCACCATACAATTAGGAAATAAATATAAATTATGCCTCTTTCATTCTAGAATGAACACAAATTATAACACGAAAACATAAATGTTTAGACGAAACAGCCATAACATTATAACAAAATAACATTATACATTTATATGTATTTATTATTTTTATTATATTGACCTTTCACCCATGCCTGACTAACAATACAGAAGTTACAAGGACGGGGCTCACGTGCACTCATGTTACCATATCAAATAACATAAAGGTGACCTTTGGTCTGTACAAAGTAACTGATCTTAGCTGTGTTTTAGTAGACTAATATTTTGTAAAATACAGTCACATTTCAATTATTTTACATTATATATGTATATAGATTATTACTATTTACAAATAAGTTCTAAAAGTTGTTTCTCCTAAAACACAGAACAGTAAATAAAGAAGTAAAGCAAACAATTATCTATTCTAGTTACGACCTTTATACGTGTTTGCTGCTTGCTGTAGGCTGCTAAGCCATGTCAAATTTTGCACATGGAGGATGTGAAACGAAATAAATTTTTTTTTATTTATATATACATTTTGAAATTACCAAAAATCATAAATTACTATATCAATACCATAACATAGGTTGCTAAGCCTTCAAAAATTTTGCAAGTGGAGGATATGAAACAAAATATTTTTGTTAAAGTTTTATGTATACATTTGAATAACTATAAAACCATATGTTACTACATCAATACCACAGAATTCTACTATAATTTATCAAGCTTAGTAACTAAGCTTTATTTGGGTCTAAAAAAATAGGAAATTTCGAGCATACTAAAGACACAAACTACCTCATTGAAATCTTGGTTGAAAAGAAAGAAATGGTAGAAGGAATGTTAGAAAGGCTGAGAGAACCACTAGGGGAACATTCTGAGCTTCAAAAATTGGTTATTCACATCGTATATATAGAAGTAAGTATATATAATGGAGCATTTCCAAAAATGGAAAGAGGTGGGTAGGGTGCCACTGTTTGATTTATTACGTGAGCAATATCTTAGCAAAAAGAAAAGATAAGACCTTCTTATTTTATATTCCAGCTTGTCAATATCAGTAATTTGAGTTTCTAATTCGTTCGAAACTATAGACTTAATATTTTGACTTCACAAACATCTAATTTGAACCAGTACTGTATTCAACATACCATGTGACACACAAAAATCGTTTATCTGTTTTTTTAATATTTACTTTTAAATTAACAAATTGAGTAATATATAGTTCAAAATTTGAATTATAATCTACAGTTTAATACCAAACTTATTGACATAAATTCATGAAATAGTAGTTCAATAAAATTTTTAATGCGAGTCAACAAATGAGATGATATGGCCTTTCACCTGTGACCCATCTCAAAAGGGTTAAACATCTTCTCTTACCCAATAAATGTATTTTTTTAAATCTAGTACACATATGATAATGTTTCATGAACAGCTTTGACACAATCAGTTATCCTGATTCAACATGCAGTACAGGTAGTAATACTACTGGTTATCCTTTGCGTTTATTTGCAGTACACTTAGCAACACTACTAATTATCCTCTGATTTTATACGTAGTACGGTGGGGAGGAAGTACTTTAAAACTGTTTAACTCTTAAGAATAAAAATCAACATAACTCACTTTAATCACCGTTAAAGTTCCCTGCCCACAACATGAACATCGTACTCTTAATTTTCCAGGACAAACATCTTTACAAGGGCCACTGCAGTAAACATAGAAATTCACTTTTCTTTTATCTGTTGAAGAAAGTTAAACACTGTGAGTTACAGATCAAAGGTAAACAGTATTGGTATCATAAGTACATTAAATAGATGTACCTGGTCAAAGTAATTAAGGAAATGATTACCCAAAGTCCATTATCACTTGTCTAACTATAAGAATTACAGAACTTGATGTGGGAACTGTAAGTAATAATATGAATTAAGACAGCTTCCACTAGCACTGATCACCTCTATCTAACTTTACTACATCTAATGAAATTTTGACTATGCCAATTACATAATCTCTTGACTTTAGTTTCATGAATATTTAATTCTCTTTAATAAATATTTATTTATTAATTTCTATAGGAGTAATTGGGCCATTTTTAATGATGAGTTAAACCAGATTTTTATATTTACTCTTTCACAGTCTTTATTCAATTCTCTTGCTTACAAATGTATAGCACCATACCACTATCACTTGTGTAATACTTTTTTAATAGATTGTTCATGTAAGGTGCTCTGTTCTCGAAAGGTTAACATAAGACATCAGTATGCCATCATTCCCCTATCTTCAGTAATAACACTGACAAACTGTTGAATAATAAAGCAAGTGCTAATACAGTTTGCCTACTGAAAGAAAAAACCTTCAGTACAACATGGATCAACAAGTGCCAATGAACTCTTTTGTACAATAACTTTGAGAATCATTTTTATTTCCTTTATTTGTGCCCAACCAAAAAATACCACTTCCTCACAGCATGGATCTATAAAATTTTTTAATCTGGAATTGCATTAACATTATTGACCCTCTCATTAATGAACATACACTTTATTATTTGAATACACTTTTGTTTGATAGATAAAATACGTTCCAGTACAGCACATGTTTATGTAAAGTCCAATTTAACTCTCTTGCTGTAAGCTGGGTTTCCCAAAAATCTGAAGACTTAAAATAAAAACAGTACAATATATTGACCTGGCAGAAGTAAGTATCAGTAAACAGCCCACGTAAATTGAGAGAGGGAGAGAGTAAAGGCTGATGAGAGTTAGGGAAATAGAATACTCTGCAGGAAAATCCCATATGTCACAGAAGGGACTGGACAAATCCTACAGTTTAAGCCAAAGGTGCAACACCATTTACATAAAACTGATGACTGAAAGTGACTAAGGAGAGATCTCCATACTAGAAATCCTAAAAGCATCAATCTGAGTAGTTCCAAAATGGGAACAAATCCAACAGAATAATGAAGGATGTAAGAACCACTCTGTGGAATGGATCCAATCAAGGTGAGAAAAGTGATCCATCACCAGATACAACCTCATGGACATATCATAAGATAGGTATAATGATTGTGGTCCCAAGAAAAGATATCAAATGCAAGAAAGCACAAATTGCAGTTGCCAGTGCCTCTTTGGCAGTTGATTAAAGTAATGACCACAGAACTGTCTGAATGATCATCAAAAGATGACCAGACAACCACACCTGATGAAGGAGGCATATGCAACAAGCTGCAGTCATCTCCAGAAAGTAGGTATACAGGGAATAATGCTCCTTTGGAACCCTTATGCTGGATAGTGGTCATGTTAAGAATCATCCTCCAACTAGAAAGATGCATCAGAGTGAGTAAGGCCAGTGGAGGTAAAGGGGAGGTCATGGCATACCCCTGGATGTGTTGGAACAATCAAGCTATGATGATGGAAAAATGAAGAGAGGAAGATACAGACATGAGGGCAGATAAGGGAACACAGTACATGTTTCAATGATCCCCCAGATCCCATTAAAGGAGATGCACATATGCACATTGAAGAGGAATCAGGGCTCTTAGGGAAGCAAGAATTCCTAAATGCAAAAGAGAAGTTTCTTGGCTACTAAAATCACCATGTTGCAAATATGAAAGGTAGACAGTTAAAACCTGCAATGTAGAGAGGTTGAGGAAAATCCACATGTTGACAAGAAACTGAATGGGTATCAAAATGGACTTGGTCTAGGTGACAGGCTTCTAAAAAACAAATGGAGGTAGCACTCACCAAGTGTTGTAAAGATGAGGCCAGGATAAGCCAGACAACCTTATAATAATGAAAGTGAAGACCCACAAAGATGCACATGCTGAGCAAAGGAACAATTCTTCTGGCTGAAAACATAAGGGGTTGTAGCTAGGCCAAAGGGAAGGACACAGAACAGAAAGACAGAATGAAGAAGAATGTGACAGTAGACATTTGAAACATCTACCTTAGTTAAACAACCTAGGAAAGAGGGTCAACAGCAGACTGAGAAAGTCATCCATCAGATATTGATAAAAAATCAGAAAGTGACAAGTCAATGACAGGGTGCCAAACCCCCAACTTCATGGGGAGGACAAAAAGAGAGAGAAATAAAAGAACAGAGTGAAGTGGAAGATAAGTTTTATAGCACAGCCAACAAAGAGGACACTATATCTTGAGGATGACGATATAGAGGATCAGTGAAAAGAGAATAGGAAAGCGTGTGATAAGAAAGACTTGAAGAAAATGTCTGGCCCTTGGTACTTTTTTCTTCTTCTTCTTTTATTACATATATATATTTTACTTTGAATACAATGTGGAAATTAGTCTAAAGTGAAAATTTGGTGACTAAAGATAATGAAGTTGCAATCAGGTGGATGGAACAAAAGTGCAAAAGGAGAATGTAGTGCTAAAGAAATAAAGGCAGCCGATTAAGTCAAATAGAAACCTAAATGCACAGGAAGAACACTTCTGAACACAGCCAGTATCGAGGAAGAAATGAGCCTATGCTCATATGCCAGTGCTCATAAGGATTACTGTGCATAGAGGTCATATCACCCTCTTACTGTTGGGGAGCTACAGTATTATGATGACTATATCATAAGCTGGTGCAATAAACATTGACACTTGTAGGGGTGAGAGTTCAATCAAATCTTATGGCATGCACAGGAAATTCCACAGCAGTTGCAAGTCCATAGTGGTGCAAAAAGGTAAGTAGCATTTCTGGAGTACTTATATTAGATAGTAAAACAATATATTTCAGTAGCTATATTATAAAACACACATTACTTTTTTTAAAACTGTCTTGTGGACTGGCTGAAGTCACCCTGTCGATTGAAGGATGGGAACCACTGTTCTAGAGGACAGAGCTTGAAGGATCAATGAAACTAAATCAAGAACAAAAAACTAGGTTGGCCAGAAGCTAGAAAGAGTAGTCTCAAAAGTTTTGGTATCCTTGATCAATGAAACTACACACAGAACTAAAGAACGTGGTTAGTGAGGAGCCAGTTGTGTAGACTGAAAGATAATTTCAAGTGAGAGAACTTGCACACATAAAAAAAGCATATAGAATCAAAGGATTTGGTTGTTCAGGAGACAATATGTGTAATTTTTAAAGACCCTGATATTCTAGAAGACAAACTTGTAAGTCAAAACAAACTATAGGGAAGGTGACTGTTCATAAATGTTCATAAATATATACAAGCATACAAAAAATATTTTTTGCATCCACTCAGGTTTCAATAAGTTACATATGATTTCCATATAAGACGCAAAGTAATTTTCATATTTGCTTAGAGAAACTTAACATGTAACTATTAGTTTAACGTAACTTTAAAAATAAAATTAAGATAAAAGCAGGCATACTTGATTCCTTAATTGAACTGGACATTTAAAGAAAAGTTAACATTTTCCTAAATTGAAAATATATTTTCCAATAATACTTACCTCCACTAACACATAGTTATTCCTCGACCTTCACTTTGCCCATCTAAGTATTGGTCTCACTTTTTCCAGTCTTTTATACCTCTTTCTTGGTATTGTATATAAGCTCCTCACTCAGATAATGTAACCACTTTTTCAAGACTTACACCATCCCAGTCACTAACATTGGCTCTTAGTAGGGAAGAAGGGCAGGATAGTGTCAGCAGAGGTAAGTATTATTGAAAATACATTTTCAATTTTCAATTTAGGAAAATGTTAACTTTCAAAACATATTTACCATCCACTGACATATAGCTAGAATCCCACATTGAGAAGGTGGAGGGACCAGTGAGGGCATTATCCATACAGAAAGTGTCAACATAGAATAGGGACGTACCAAGATAAGGATGATACACAAGTGGGGGAACTGCACTACATCCAGCACAAACTTTCTCCTCCACTTGAATAAGTCCAGAAGGCAACACCCCAGGCTCATAATCATGGGATCTTGTATGCCTTACTCAACCAAAGGAACAGAACTCATCCAGTATGAAATTATAAATGCTCACCCTCACTCCCCCAACCAGGTAGGCAAGGAGCATTCCACTTGCCCCCAGAATTATGGAGAGAACGTGGAACACTGTGATCAACCAAGGACCTAGGATGGGACCACTCCACATTATGAGGAAATAGTGGACCTCCTTCCATGAACAATATACTAAATCAACATTGATAAAAAAGGGCCATGTACACCCTAACCAGATAGCTTAGCATGAAATCTGAACCAATATTACAAGTAGGCTCCCACGAAGGCTGGTGCTTCTCCTCAAGACATCTGTGAAAAACATCCAGGGACCCAGGTAGGAGGGCCACCAACTTTGCCCTCTTCTCCAAGAGTGGAGAAAAACACTCAAACACTCTGGAGGAAAAGCCTCTGTTCACCACCACAGTAACTGAAAACCAGGTGCAGTAAGGACTCCCTAGCTACACTAGTAGTATCTGGGGTGTAATGCGCATTGGAGAATCCTGAAGAACAGTGCTCTAGAAACTGTTCTTCGGGACTTTCCAAGTTCACTTAATTTTTAAAAGCAAACCAACCCTGATTTTTTCAATCCAATGATTGGCAAGGATGGGTAAAATCCCCTTTAGCTTTATTCATGATAGTCCGTGTGTGTCGGTTCAGCAGAATATGGTAATATCATCTGGTAAGCATCTAGATGGTGTTATCAAACCCAACATTTCTGCAGAGCATGTTGCAACTGGTAGGAAGTACAGTTAAATTGGTTGCTAGTGCAAAACTGGATTGATAAAACACACTTGTCTGGCCAACACTCACCACAGAGTGGGATCCAGTGAAACAGAGGTAAGGGACCCTGGAAAGTAAAAAGACAAGAGGAGGACAAAAATACTCACTCATCCTTATAATCCAGCAGATGCTGACAAAACAGCCATAGGGAATAGTTGATAATCCTCAGAAGAAGAAACTGCCAGATCGTGTAAAGAATGTGAGAGAAAATTATTGAGAGAAAGCCACATACCAGCCTGAATAATGTCCTCTAGCAGGTAATTGAAATGAGCAGTGAAAGACATAAAAATGTGACAAATTTGATGAGATGTGACTCTCAGAAATTTCATCAGCTGTAAAGAATGTCCAGAATAAGCAACATGGATATTTGCAAATCCACCTCATCAAAGTAATTGGGATAAATCTCAGGAAACTGAAGGATCCCACTGAATACAGAGACAAGTACCATAACTCAGAAAGGAACCACATAATGCCTGAGGGCTCTGACAGGACATAAAAAATGATCAGTGTTTGATCGGTCATAGAGGTGAGAAATAGCTGGCAAAAGAATTGATGAGAAGGATTTAACCACTTCCCTGGCTGCCAGAGACTTAAGAAGAAAGGACCTATCAGGGTATAGGAGAACCAAAGTGAAGTAATAAACAAGTCCTGTGCACATGTAGTTCGAACACTTCTGACCTACAACATTCACATGCCAGCAGCAACAAAAAGTACCCCTTAAGGGAAAGGTGATACATGGTATATGAGGCTAAAGGTTCGATTGGATGTCAAGACAAAGCATGTAATAAGTTAAAATCTAAGTTAAGTAATTGAAAAGTCCATTTGGAAAGAAGGACTAAATGACTGGAGAAGGCTGGATATCACTAAAGAGTCAAACTTTCCAATGTTTAAAACAATGAAAAGTAGTTCATAAAGCTTCCTTACATAAAAAAACAGGAGACAAAGCTAGACACGAGTCAAAAAACAAAATATGATGGGCATGTTTGGGTGAAGTGGGTTCAAACTCCTCATGAGGCACACACAAGGAACTTTAGTAGTTAAACCTCGATGAGCTTGGGAAAGTTTCCTTGTAGAATGTTGGATTAGGGCTACCTCAACAAAGATTGACAAAGAGGGAGAGACAGAGGTGGACCCTCTTGAAGATACTGTAGAAGATGTAACCATGGTTAGGCCAGCCAATCTGAGGCTACCAACAGCTCTCAAGAAGAGGATTGATTCATAGCAAGAACTCTGAGTAACAGATGAATTGGGGGAAAAGTATAGAGTTGCAATCCCATCCAATATTGACTGAATGCATCTATCACCAAAGCCTGAGGATGAGGTACTGGGGACCAAAAACACCTGTAGTTGTGTTTCAAAGAGTGGCAAATGCATCGATCATTGGAAACCCAAACTGAGAACAAATCCACTGGAAAACCTTGAAATGGAGAATCCATTTGGTTGGAAGAAATCAATTGGGCTGAGACAGGTGATCTGTAATGAAATTCATCACCCCAGAAAAATTCAAAGCCAGGAGGTGGATATGATGGGAGTGAGCCCCGTAGATAAATAACCAAAATTTCGAAAACAAAGGTCCTAAGAATGCATGCTCCCATGATGAGATATTTAAGAGACCACTGTGCAATTGATGGAAAGAATCATGAAAACATTCCCTGCAATAGATCTAGACTTTGAACCATAGCCTGGTGGACAGTAAGAAGTTCTAAGTTATTGATGTGGAAGGAAGATTTGTCTTCCATTCATATACCCTGGAATCCCTGATCTTCAATATACACACCCCGTCCCTGAAGTGAGACATCTGTGAAAATATGAAAAATCGGAACAGAGGGGTGGTATAAGGACACTGATGGTAGCATTGAACTGATCTAACCACCACTTGAGAACTAAAATGTAGCTCCTGGTGAAAGACTGGATGATCCAGTGGATTGGATTTCCTGATCTATTGGTTGCACAGTGACCACTGAAGGCACTGCATGTATTTTCAGCCCAAAATAAACAGAGAATCAAGGGATGCCCACATCCCCAAAAAGATAGCAAGATCCACGTAAGTAAGAGTCTGACTGCCAATTCCTAGCCTGGAGCTGGTTGGGAGTTGGCTGAGCCTGGCTTCAAACATATCAAAAACTCATATTATGTTGCAGATAACATATGATGCAGATGCTAGGCCAAAGGATAGATCTCTGAATAGCAGAAACTGATCCTTTTGCACGAAACTTAGATAGTGGCAGGATGAATTCACAAGAAATGCATCAGCAACATCGAACTTGGTCATCCAAGGATCAAAGAATTGGTTGAGACAAGAAAGATCGATGATCATCCGCTTATCTCCTGTCTTCTCATGCACAACAAATAATGGGAGAATAATGGAGGTGGAGAAGTGAATAGAAAGACCAACCCCAATGCCAGAACTTGAAGTATCCATGGATCTGCTGTGAAGGAATATCATGTGTCCATCAAGTGTTGTAACCTCACTCCTACAGACCCCACCCACCTAGGGTAGACATCAATGCCATTAGCTATAGTCGGCCAGAATGGAGGAGCCTTGAAATTAAGGGCAGAATCTATTCTGTGTATTCATAAAGCGGGGAACAAAAGCTGGGGGTTTGGACACACAAGGCATAGTCGAGCCATGACTACCAGCAAGAGCCAAAGAAAGTCTAGAGGCCAACAATAACAAGGAAAAAAGCAAACAGGTGACCTCAATTTGCAATTCCAATGACTGTGGGATGCCAGTGAACATCAATGGATGAAGAAAGGGAGACTCATAACTCATGGAGGGCTACAGCAGGCAAGACGAACTTCCTCCAACAAAGAATCTCTACTCAATAAATCCCAACAACATACAAGCCAGGTAACCAAAGAAATAACAGAAGCTGACAATCTGACCAAAGTGGACCCATTCATCCTCAAATTGATGTGGGGGACCTTCGACAGGCTTTCAAAGAATTTTCTTTTTTAAGAAAATGTTAAAAGTATGGAAATTCACAATGCTATACCAAAATTGCAATCCAGAACATAACAAAGCACAGCACTTCCTCAGAGAAAACCGTGACCAAACACTTTGTCGAGAAAAAGTAGTTACATTATCTTAGTGAAGTGCTTATATAGAGTACCAGGATAGAGGGTGCATTGATGTAGGTGGAGAGTGTCACAAGGCCAAAAATCACCAAGGGCATTTAAGTGGGGTATAAAAGACTTGAGCAAGTGAGACCAATGCTTAGATGGGCAAAGTGAAGGTTGAGGAATAGCTATGTATCAGCATAGGTAAGTATGTTTTGGAAACAACAAATTATTTTCATGCAAGTTCTAAAATATCATATTAATTTTAAATAACTTCACCACAAAACCCGCTAATGTACTTTTCTTACAGGCATTATATTTTTGAAATTCCAAGCTGAATAAGCATATCTTTTTATTTACACATACAAAAGCTGTCTTATACAAATAAATATATATACATAACTCTGTTTTCATGATTCATAATAAAAAAATTTTCATATATTTAAATCATTAGTCTTGTTACAAAAATACATAATTCTTCAATAAACTAACCATTTCTTTCGTTAACTGTTTTCTGCTCATCCTCAGATAGTTGAAGGCTGGCAATGGATTCGTGCAACAGTGCCATTTTACTTGTGGTGACTGTCAAGGAAGGGGCTCTGTTCCTTGCTCTAACAGCATGAAGGATGCTCTGTTGCCCAATGTCACAATTCTGAATGCAGAAAATATTGTAGTGAATACATGTCACATTCAAGTAATTATATTTTAAGGTATAGATTTTGACAAAACTTATTATCATTTAATTACTACTCAACAAATTAAAGCATCCACTGCTATGACAGCTGTCTAGAATTGGTGACTAAAACTTATTAGAAGTTTAATTTTCACAACCATGAGCTTGAACAGGTTTGGCACAATACCCAAAAATGGGTATAATTACCAAATATGGAAATAATCATCATAAACACACACATTATATATTATATATATATATATATATGCACACACACACATACAAGATTACAAGTTAATACTAAAAGAGTGCAAAACTTTAATTGCTTCCTGTATGTACAGCACTATACACAGAGCCACTGGCTAAAAAGCAGTAATAAAGCTGTGAAACTACTACCAACCTATTGATATTAAAAATATAAATAAAAAGATACATTTCAAACCTGGTGCTTAGAATGTTTATCTGACATTACAATTTGGGGTGTAGTTGGGTGCGAGAAGGATGCTATTTTTTTACAAAGGGATTTGGATCATTCAGTGAATTGGACAAATAAATGGTAAATGGTATTATTGGTAAATGTATTTCCAATAATACTTAAATCTGCTGACACTTACAGCTATTTCTCAACCACCAGGGTTTCTTCTTTGCCCATCTAAGCATTGGTCTGATTTTTTCTCGCTCGCTCCACTCTTTTATATCTCACTCAATAGCCCTTGGCGATATTTGTCTTGTGATACTCTCCACCTACATCAATGTGCCCTCTATCCTAGTACTGTATATAAGCACCTCATTCAGATAAATTTATCACTTTTATGTAACTGACACCATCCCAATATCTGACACCGGCTCTTAGTAGGGAGGAAAGGCGAGAGAGTGTCAGAGGAGGTAAGTATTATTGGAAATACATTTTCAATTTTGGAAAATGTTAACTTCCAAAACATACTTACCTCCACTGACACTCATAGCTAGAATCCCACACTGAGAAGAGGGAGAGGCCAGTGAGGGCATTATCCAAACAAAAAACATCTGCATAGATCATGGGTGTACCAAGATTAGATTGTTACCCGAGTGGAGGAACCGCACTACATCCAGAACAGGTATGCTCTTCACCTTGAGCTTAGTTCTTGCATCAAGGGTGGAACTGTGCTCGAGTAATCATCACTATAGGCCAGCCCCAACCAGGTAGCCGAGGTTCCACTACTCGGAGTTGGAATTAAGGGGTCTTGGTCCTTATATCCCACATTGGTGGCTAGGGCTAATGGACCACAACATTACATGTATATATATATACTATTGACCGAAACCCAACCTGTAGCTATAAAGTAATGCATTCCAAACCACCAGAATCACAACGAAAAAGTAAGCAACACCAAAGTGGACAAACCTCCTCCTCCACCTGAAAAAGCCTGAAAGTCAACACCCCAGGCTCGGAATGACAAGATTGTGTATGCCATACTCAACCAAAGGAACACAACTCATAATGTCTGGAATTATGAATATTCATCCTTACTCCCAAACCGAGTGGGCAAGGTGTATTCCACTTGCCCCCAGAATTATGGGGGTAGAACAACTGTGCTCAACAAAGTACCCAGGATGGTACCACTCTGTGTTCAGAATTACAAGGAGAAATGTATCCCTTTCCACAAACAATGTACTGAACTGATACTGATCAAAATGAAGGGCCACACACACCTCAACCGGAGAGCCAAGCATCAAATCTGAACCGGTATAACGAGTAGGCTCCCACGTAGGCTGGTGCTGCTCCTACCAACATCTGGGAAAAAAAAAACATCCAGGGATCCAGGTAGGAGGACCCCCAACTTTGCCTTCTTCTCTGAAAGTGGAGGAATACACTCTAATGCTCTGGAGGAATAGCCTCTGTCCACCACCCCGGTGACTGGAAACCTGGTGTGGTAAGGACTTCCTAGCTCCACTAGTAGAATCTGGGGTGTAATGCACATTGGAGAGTCCTGAGGAACAGTGCTTTGAAAACAGTGCAATAGGTTCACTAAATTTTTAAAAGCAAACCAACCCTGATTTTTTTCATTTCAATGATTGACAGGGATAGACACGATCCCCTTTAGCTTTACTCACAATAATTCATGAGTGGCAGTCTATGCATAGTATGGTAATACCACCTGGTGAGCTCCTAAGTGGTCTTATGGAACACCTCATTTCTACAGAGCCTTGTTGCAACTGGTAGTAATTATAGTGAAATAGTGGTTGCTAGTGTGGAATTGATTTGATATAAGCATGCCTGTCTGGGCAACACTCACCACAGAGTGGGATCCTGTGAAAACAAGGTAAGGGACCCTGAAGGTAGAAATAAATATACTCACCCCTCTGGATAATCTAGCAGAAATGATTAAGATAGCTACAGGGGGTAGGCAAAAAACCCTCAGATGAAGAGACTGTCCAGAACTGCCAATCTTCTGTCTGCATAGGTCCAACAACTGACAGGAATAAAAATCTCTGAAGAAGTAGCCTGACTCTCCCACTATCCCCAGACCAACCAAACTCAGATAACCCTAGAACTAAGTTCCAAATCCCAATGAACTGCGAGAGATGGAAACCATACAGATTGGGTAGATAAAAGTGGGGAAGATGTGAACTAAATGATTAATCCTGACTTAAGAACCTGCAGTGCTCCTGGATCCATGATTATGTTTACTATATGTTCGGAAGTTCTTGGAATCGAGCCCCCACATCATCTGAAAGTATACAATAACCACTGATGCTGCTGGTGATACAACTAAGCAGTAGAATCCTTGAATATAAACATAATCTATTCTGAGTACCAATATAACGAGGGGTTGATGTTGGGGGTTGGGACTCACGAATAGGGACAGAACTATAACCCCCTGTAGGAGCCAATGAAATTCAAGACTTCAACAATAACTGGGAGGAATATAGAAGCCAAAAACTAAACAAATGTGCATGCTAACAAAGGATCCAGCTCATCATCAATGAAGCTGGTGATCCAGAGAGTCTTCTAAATAAAATTTATAGGAAACAAAATGTTGAATTTGAGTTGTAAGTCCGTAGGTGAACTACAAACTCTGCCTTAAAACCCCGAATTTCAAAGAGCAAAAGTATTATTTCAGAGTCAGAAAAATGCCTCCACCTGGTGGTGGTAGGCTAAATCACGAGGTTCCAACATGTCGGATAAGGCCTAAATGTATTACAATCGTAATACTAGAAAACCTCTAAGTGATACTTTGTTGAGAAAAAGTGATAAAATTATCTGAATGAGATGCTTATATACAGTACCAGGATAGAAGACACATTGACATAGGTGGAGAGTATCACGAGACAAATATCGCCAAGGGCAATTGAGTGGAGTATAAAAGATTGGAGCAAGCAAGAAAAAAACCTGATCAATGCTTAGATGGGAAAAGAAGAAACCCTGGCATTCGTGTAATAGCTATAAGTGTCAGTGGAGGTAAGTATGTTTAGGAATTATTTTCAATGATACAAATAACTTATAAATAACTTTACGAAAAATTATTTATAAAATGTTTTTTAAACAGAATTTAACTATTTTGTGCAGTTGCCAAAATCAACTTTCTATTACAAAAAATTAAAAGTTTCAAATAAAATGTGTTTAAAATATTTCAAACAAATATGAAAATGAATTTATTTCAGAATTTTCTAAATAAACAGAGATCATCCCCATCTCTAGGAATTATGCCAAACTTGTTCAAACCCATGGTTGAAAAAATCAAACTTCTGATCAATCAATGTATAGTTATTTGAATCAATTAATATAGTAGTTCTTTACTTTTAAAATATCAAGCATGGATACCTTCACAATTGTCTTTGATTTGTCGTACCTGGATTTTCAAAAGGCTTGCAACCAAAATTCCACATAAAAAAACTACCATACAGAATTATCGCTGTAGTTGTGGCGGATAATTAAACTCCATGGATTAAAGTTGGTTAGGGAAGAGGAAGCAAAGGGTTATAATAAATGGAATTCAGTCAAACTGGACTGGAGCAAGTGAGGTACCTTGCTGTGCTTATTTTTTTTATATTCATTAATGATAATGATGATGGAATGGGCAACAAACTGGTAAAGTTTGTTGATATAATCCAAATTTTGGATGTAGTTGGCTATGAGAAGGATGCTATTGTTTTACACATGAATTTGGATCATTTGGTGAACTGGAAAAATAAATGGTAAATAGCATGGTAATGTATGTGGGTTACTTGAATTCCAACTATATTCACCAATTTGATAAAAATCAATTGTTATGAAAGAAAAGAATCTTGTTGTCTTAGTCAATCAGTCTTTTAAACCTTCCAGGCAGTGTTTTCTTCCCATGGAAAGCAAATGGGATTTTAACTTATATGTACAGGAATATTAAATTCAAGTCAAAGAAGATTATTGTTTTGTTGTACAAATTTCTGTTTAGGACCCGTCTAGTATATTGAGTTCATTCTTTGGCTCCTTACTTCGGGTTGTTCAAAAGGGTTCAAAAGATAGTTTCTTGAATGATTCCTGAGATGGAGAGACTGTCATATGAGGATAGGTTAAGGTTCTTAAGATTATTTCCTCTTGAGGAAAGAAGGGTTAGAGAGAACCTAACTGAAGCTTTCAAAATTATAAAGGCAATTAGATTAATGTGTCACCTTTTTCTATCTATAATAATAGGAGTGGTAGGACTAGGAGACATAGATTTAAAATTTGGGTGGGTAGAGGACATCTGCAAATTAGGCAATTTTATTTTTTGAACAAGATGGTTAGCCTTTGGAATAGATTAGCAGAAGAAGGTATATTCAACAATCATGAAAAAAACAGGTGCAAAATTTCTTTCAAAGAGGTCATTTAAAAAAAAAAAGGAACTCCTCCTTCCTTTTTTTCGAAAATTCCAGACGCTAAACTTTTTTTTTACTTGGCCTTAGCTATTTAAAGTTTACCTAAAGATTAGGTACAAACTTGATCTGATAATTCATTGCAAAATACACTCATTTCACCTCTTCTTGAATGTAATACCAGGCCACAAAATCTTGTTCTTTAGAGTTTGGGGCATAACCCCATGAGGCAGAAAGAAAATTATTATTTCTCATTGTTTGATAAAGCAAACAAAATTGTACAAAAAATTGAAGTATATAAAATGTTATAAATTCTATTGTGAATGATAATAAACTATCACATAACATTAACAGGAGACCTTTTGGTCCACCTAGTCCATCCTATCCACTAAAAAAAACTCAAAGCCAGCTCTTATCATTAAAATATTTATCAAGCTTTCCCTTAAATTAACTGCACTTCCCACATCTGAAGGCAACCTGTTCCAAAGGACAAACACCCTGTTATAAAAATAAAGCTCTCTTACCTGAAGATGACTTCTAAAATTTATATTTATGTCCCCTAATAACAGTAGTATTACCATTCTTAATATTAACTACCAAAAAAGATGTGACTTCAACACTATCAATTCCCTTAATAGTCTTAATGTTAAACACCTCAATTAGATCCCCTCTAACTTTTTTTTATAAAAAAAAATTAAAGATTTAAATAAATCTCATATGACAACCTTTCCATCCCATGTTTCATCCTAAATTGCGTTCTAAGAAAGAGTGACAATTATTTAAAGCTCTGTATATAACTGTGATAACCAACAGTGTGGTGAATATTTGTATATACATTTGACTTGTTTTAATATATTATTCTAAAACAAGTGATCTGTGTGCTGTTTGTTTATTGTTGAAATTTATCACCAACAAGTCACAGACGCCTACTGTAAAGAATCCAGCACATACAAAATTATACTCATAATTCAAACTGTGATATCCCACATACATTATGTTTCATTTATTACAATTAAAAGCCAAATGTCATTTATCTGCCAAACACACCAATATTCCAACTCCTTTTGTAAAGCAGTTGCATCCTCCTCACAGCCAGCACCACTGAAGCCTTTAATGTCATTAATAAATTCAAACAATCTATCGACCATTCCTTCATCTATGCAAAAACAGATATTAATGTAATGAAATACCAATTATTTACATCAGCTATCACTGCAGAAAATGTTTGGTTATAAGTATATAAAGAACAAAAAGTTCATGACTAAATATTATTATTTTTTTCTTTTCACATTTTCAACCCCCCCCCCCCAAAAAAAAAAAAGCCACAGAAGTTAGAACATTTTATGGTCTGAAGTAATCTTACTTACCTAATTAGCAAGGGCGTCTGGAATTTAATTCAGTTCTGTATCTTGCAAGAACTGAACGTCTATGCAGTTAAAAAATGCGACACGTTGCGAGAAGAAAAAAAGCATTACCACTATACCAGTACCAACACTGGCAACAGTTCAAATGGCCTTGAACATTTGATTTAAAATGATACTCAGTAGTAGCCATATCACTCTAACATAAGAATTTCAAAACTAGGACTTTTCATCTAAAGTAAAGACTAAAGCCAGTAAAACACTTGAATTACAAAATACATTGCTTTTGAAAATAATGTAATAATAATATCATTAATTCAATATTCATGAGGTCCGCAACAACAAAATGCAGCTAGTAATAGTTTACAATTTTCAACATTTATTTTTATTGTTTGTCAAATTTAATGTTATTCGGTGTCAAACTTTTGTGCAATAACTTAAAGTTAAAATGAATAATAAATAGATCTCAAACCTCAACACATATGTCATCATCTAATTCTTTACCAGCGAAGATTATGCTCAAGTCTTCCGGTAAAACATTGAGCTTAGAGCTCAGAGTTTCTTTCATTTTTGAAACTGTCCATTGTGGATTAATATCTAAAGGCACCGATATTTGACCATTGAAGCGAACATTAACTCTCAATATATTCATACCTACAACGTTCTTACGTTTGATAATTCCTAAAGATACTAAAATACTAGAAACAAAACTACCAAATAAGCTAACAACATGGTTAATAATGAAAGTCGCCATATATATAATATTAGGGAGCATTAAGAAAATTCGGCAATAAATTTACACAGTCAATACTCTTTCGTAGATGCTTTTATAAAGACTTGTTTTATGAAGTCGAAAGAAGTTTTGTTTGTTTGTAATTAAGCACAAAGCTAAACGATGGGCTATCTGTGCTCTGCCCACCACGGGTATAGAAGCCCGGATTCTAGCGTTGTAAGTCCGCAGACATGCCGCTGTGCTACTGGGGGCCGAAAGAAGTAAATAATTCCTGAGATAAATAAAAATGAACATTTTTTAGTAGCCATATGTCCGTGGTATATGAAACGTAACAGGTATTTGTTTTAAAAGATAAAAATAATTATGTTATAGGTCAAACCACTAAGTAGTTAATATATATATATATATATATTAATATATATAATTGTGGATACAACGTTTCGGGCAATGCCCTTCTTCAGGTTTCACTAACTGTTTGTTTGTTACGGATTTCGCGCAAAACTACACGATGGCTATATGCGCTAGCCATCCCTAATTTAGCAGTGTAAAACTAAAGACTAGAGGGAAGACAGCTAGTCATTACCACCCACCGCCAACTCTTGGACTACTCTTT